GAACAGGTATATATAGATATAGATATTTAGATATGGAAAGAAAGGATACATCTTGTCTATCATTTAACATGCTTTTTACAATTTTTTTTTTTTTTTTGGGGGGGGGGGGGTTCTTTCTCAAGTTTATTTGTTAAACCAGACTGTTTTCATAAGACACAACCTCGATCAGAAGGAGGAAGACAAAGCAACAAACTTGGATAGAAAAAAGCAAAATAAATGTTAGGCAAGATGTATCCTTTCTTTCCACAGAAAATGTAGAGCAAATTGTAAAGTTTGTGCAGTTTCTGAGTTAGGGAATGTCTACTACACTAATATTTATGCTCAGGAGTCAGCACAGCAGTGTTATAGACTGAGCACTTCATCATTGTCTTGCACAGTTACAATAAAACAAAAAGCAATAATTCACACAAATATTCACCAAGGTAAATTATAAAACATTCAACCCCACACTGAGGGTTTTTTTTATCCACACTGATAGAGAGGCTCTGATTCCAATACTTGAATGTTTTTCTCTATAATGTTGCTGATCAGCACCCGAAGCCCACACCATATACATATTTGCTGGTGTGGCATGATTTTCATACACCTACGATGATTTTATCATACTGAGAACTGCAAAACTTGTATTTACCACCGTTTCAATCAATTGTGTTCCTACAACAAGAGAGGCATGAATATTGTGTAAGAGCCAAGTACGCAGATGTGTTGCACAATTCTGTAAACCAGCTATTTTTGTGGCATTTATTTAAAAAAAAAAAAGTTTAGGGTTTTTCAAAAAACACATTCTAATGTGCTGTTTGTTTTTGTAGCAATAACCAGTTTTACCTTCTAGATCAAATTCGATGGCATGACAGTCGGATTGTCCGAGGCTCCATGAACAGTAGAAGACAGACCCTCCCTCTGTAACATTGCTCTGCCTCGTGTTGGCTCTGGGGGCTCCAACGACCACGCTTGCACTGTAAAAGAAAGAAGAACGGAGAAAACATCTTAAAAAATGACTAAATGTCTACCGTTTTAACCAGCCATTAAATGGTTGGTAAGGTTTGTGGCTCTCAGCCTGACGCCAATTTCCTACTGCCTTCCAGACCTTTCCACTGATGTTTTGACCTCGATGCTCTACACTTTTCTTTCTTTTTACAGCTTTGAGAGCTACACTCATCTCAGATGCAAAACATTTTAACAGGTCGCAGCTCTGCTTTTATGTATCCCATACTGTCGCTGGAAGCTACTACCATCACATGACTCTTAGACGCATTCACTGCACCTGTACATGGTCCGACACACAAGGAGAAACACTTGTACGGTCACACATCCTTCTGGGGGCATAATTCAACAGGGATACAAGCGAGCAGAAAGGTTAAGTGGAGTCACACACTTGTTTCTACAGCTGGATGCTTGACAACATAAGACCTTTACTGTACCGCCACAGCAAGAGCAGCCGACCACTTCAGCAGACCCTGAAGAGTTTACAGGAGTTCACACTGGAGGGATGAAAGGGATTAAGAAACGATAGAGTGATGATATGGAAATGGAGACATTTAAGATTTGGGAAAAGGATAAGTGCAGAAAGAAAACTTCAGTAGATAATGTGGCCTAAGTGGATGGTTTAGCCATTACCTCATTGTGGAACCACTTGACCCAACAAGGAGCAAAGACCCAGTTACAGTCATTTGATGTGGGTAAGGGAGGCAAGGGACCTTTGAGACCAGGCAATGTCTTAGGGGCTTAAAAGCAGGAAGAGTACACCCTTTCCTGGTCTGGAGCTTTCAACAGTACACAAATGTTTACTTTTAGGCTAAACTTAGCATCCTGACCCTAAGGGTAACAAGTCAGTGGGGTTCAAGAAGATACAAGAACTGGCATGAGCAGAACAGCAGTTCAGCTACGCTACGTTTCAGTGCCTTGTACTTCACTGAATTGACCCAAGACTTCAGAGCAGAAAGCATGGGCAGTTATAGGGCCAGCTCGCAAGGAAAAAGCTGAATCTCATCACCCCTTACACTTACTTTTTTTTTTCCCTTACGTTTATATATGGGGAGGATGTGCTGATCTTTTTTGTGATGTAAAGGAAGGCAAATGGGCTTTCTAGCCTTTGTAAATGTCAAATTTCAGGGCCACACATTAAGAAGAAGAATAGAAGCTGCACTAGAATGATAAGATAAGTGCTGTGTGTCGTCATCATTGTATGTTCAGGTTAGGTTTATTTGTCATATGCAAAATCAGCACAAGGTCAACAATGCAATGAAATGCTGAGGACGAGAAGAAGCGTCTCAACTCGCAAAAATATAAAAAAACATTAAAAACACTACTAAAATACTAAAAACAAGGTTGAAAAAGAAAAATACATATACAGTGTGATTTGGTTAGCAGTGAGGTTCTTTCTACATCATGGTTTTGTTCTGTTAGCGGCGTGGTCTTGTTAGCAGCTTAGTAGGTCTTTAGCAGGTCTGGTCGGCAGCTTGATGGTAATAAGGACTGCAGTAGCTGCCTATGTTCCCATACTTTCGGGTCCAAAGTCAGCTGCCCTACCTCTACCCCATCATAAAAATCTGAAATGTAATTTTCATGGATGGAATAAAATGTGAAATGTAATTTTCATGGATGGAATAATTTTATTTATTTATTTATTTTCAGAAATAGATCCTCTCCAACTCTGAATGTTAGGAAACACCTTGTGACTGTGACTTTCCTTCCCTCCACTGGCTATGGTGACATTATTTACAAGACCGCCACTACAAGCACTCGGCAGGTATTGGATGCTGTCTATCGTGGTGTGCGAAGATTCATAACTAGTTGTAACCCACCACTGCACCCTGTATTCACTGGTTAACTGGTCATCATTAACTTCACACAGACTCTCTCACTGGTACAGTTTCATCGTTAAATCACTTCCTGGTCTGCTGCCTTCATACATCTCCTCCTACATGTCTCTGCATGAGTGCAGCTACAGCGTGCGCTCTCAGGACATTATTACATGCAGTGTCCCCTCAGTGAGAACTGAACTTGGCAAAAGGGCCTTCTCCTACTCCGCTCCTGTTTCCTGGAATATCTTGCAAAAAGATCTGAAGCTTCAACCTTGACCTCTTTAAGTGGCTTTAAACATCTGCTAAGTTCCTGGGAAAAAACAACACAGACATGTTCCTGTTTTTAGTTTTCTACATTGTCTTACACCCTAGCTGTTTTTATTGTTACATTTTATTTTAAATACCATTTTATTTTCACTTGTTATTCTCACTTTGTACGCATCCTTTATGATTGTCTATTGTTGTCATCGCTCTTTGTTAAAACCAGGTCTCTCTTGTAAATTAGTCCCCAAGGCTCAATGGGATTAACCTGTAGAAATAAAGGTTGAATAAAAAGATTAATAAAAACAATGTGTAGCTTGATTCTTTTGTATTAAGTTTAATGTTATTGTCATACTTGTTTACAAACAACAATAACACTGGATTAGGACGCCTGCTGGTTGCCTTTCTCTGGAGGTTTTCTTTCTCTTTCTGCTCAGAGGGGACTCTGGGGTAGACTCAAAATTTGCTGGAAGAATTGTATATCCCCTCTGGCCTGGGAATCCTTGAGGATTCCACATGAGGGGCTGAAGAAAACAATGTCTGGGTTTCCCACCTGGAACGGTTGCCTCTGCGGCCCGACCACAGATGAGCTACAGAACATGGATGCATTAATGAATTATTAACATTCTTTCCTAACAAGCAAAAAATGCAAAGTTGTATGTGAACGTTTATTGCAAGTTATGTTTACATGCTAAATATGGGTATACTGATAACTACAGAAAAGGAACCAGCTATAACTTATCATTGACTTTCTGAAAATGTCTCATCCCAGGAGAATAGTTGTGACTTAGTCACTTCTGCATTTGTGACTTATCTGTAGTTTTGAATCTCACAAGTGTGGAAGAACAAAGAAAGTAAAAGGAGTGGAATAGGAAATAAAATACTGTTAGCAGAGCCTTAACACCTCAAAAGAGCTGCAGAAAACTGCCAAATCCTTTAAGTAGATAAGAAAATCCCTTTTATTTTTGTAGGATGAGGTGAAATACAACAAAACTGATCAATCTGAAGAGGAAGAAACCGAGTCCTCCTTTATCTCAGATTCAGAGCTCAATCTGAGCAAGGATCAAAATCACAGGAGGTTATCTGGTTAGAGATTCTCACAGCGAAACAGCTGAATATCTATCTTTAGACCATTTCATTCACATATAGAAAGAGTTTGTATATACAGTATACCCACCTGTCATCCACAAACTATCTTTTAAGGAACACATTTCAAAGCTTGCAGCACTTTTACATTAAAGCTTTTCAGACAAACATTTCTTGGCACACATAAAGGAAAAAAATGCTCCTCCGGAGGAACAAACCATCTTTAAGCAGATGTATGCAATCAGTGACAATGTTGGAGGAAGATGCGCACAAGGCCGAGGAAATTAAAAGCCACAGCATTTGATGTCGGATCAGATCTGAACAGAGTCCAGCTATAGTTGGCCGTGGCAGCTTTTCAAAGAGGAAAAGTACAGGAAGCAAGCAGAAAGCAGCTAATGCTTTAATCAGAAAGTTGGCAGTTAATGTGGGTCTGTACTACCTTGCACTGATAGCTGCAGATGTGCAAATACAAGTTCTCTTTCTAACACACACGCACGCACGGATTGATAGTAATCTGAAAGTTTTGTAAATAAATCTGAATTAGCATTTAAGCCCTTATCTGAGGAGGGTCTGGTTCCTTCAAACATCCCCCCACCACAGTACCTTTTGTGTTTGCCATGAGCTTTTGTGTTGTTCGCATTTTAAGAATCTCTGTTTGGGCTTGACCAAGAATTGCGTTATTCCTTTGTGAATGTGAGGATCTTCCTGTAAAAATATTTAGTTAGCGGGGGTTGTGCGCCCCACAGCTGTTCAGACTTTCTTGTGAGGTAGGCTGTGTTTATGCTGCAGTGGCTAGCTAGACAGAAATGACTTGTTACAGTGTAAAGAAAGAGGCACTATCATGTTTGATATGTTAAGAGGAAGCTATACAGCTCAACACACACCTGAAAAGCAATAAAAAAGACACGTGAAGATCTGATGACTCTGCTACACAGACGCAAGTTACAACTCAGCTCTTGAGCTTACGAGCAACCAACCTCCACCTCGGTCCAAAAGAAGCGTTTTGGATACAACTGTTTTCATGATCAAGCTTGAATGAAGCGTTTGCATGTGCATGTCGAACACAAATAAAAATCAGCGCTAGCTACTGTCCTGGCATAGAAACTACAGTGGATTCAGCACGTCATTACCAGTGTAAACATGTGACGTTTCCACAGTCGACATTGAAAAAAAACATACATTTACAAATATTGTTCACGTGTAAACAAGGCATTGATTTCTGGTTGTTAAGAACAAATAAGCAACCGGATTTACAGGACAGAATTTTGAGAAATATCCTGCTGGTGGTAAAACAAGGACAGGACAGGAAAAAAGTTTTAATTTTCATTCAACCTTTATTTATACAGGTTAGTCTCATTGAGCCTCGGGGACTCATTTACAAGAGACCTGTAATAAGTTCCATCATGTCACACAGCACGACTGAGCTCCACCACCCAACAGACATTTAGACATTAATTAAGCTACTGTAATTTATTTAAAAGGCAAGAGAGGAATGTGTAAATAGCTTCACTGCCCCATTTCATTTGAGGGTCAAGCAATCTGAGGAAATTCTACCAAAAAACCTCACACCGCACTATAATTGTCTAACTGTACGTAACCACTATTTTATGTGGAGTTGTGAAATTAAGGCTGTTGCCAAGTGTTGGATCTTGCTGATGTGACATTATTGTGTGCAGCCATGGCTAATACACTTTATGATGAGGTTACAGACTCAGTCTGTCAACAGGCAAATTCCAAAAACTACACCCTCCCATTTAGCGCAGCACCCCTCCATTCCACATTTAATTGTCTTCCACCCAGCTGCAAGGCTGATGTCACTTGAAGACTATTATAACAGCTTTAAGCTAAAAGAGGGGAAACAATCTGAATCACATTTGTTAAGCCTTTCAGTGCAGGCTGCACCCACCATCTGCAGTCATAAACAAGACTTAAGGAACACATTAATAAAGAAAGGGGATGGGTGGGGTGTTAAAGCACACATGTCCTTCAAAACTCACATCACCTAAGGAAAACATGCTCTGTGATTCATGGAGTTTACACCTAGCTATCAACACATTCTTAAACTATGAAGTGGTTCCATATACATGAAACGATGTCAGATGCAGTGACTTGATGTGACGA